AAGACAAAGGTCCCCAGGGACACATGCGCCAGCGGTGAATAAACTCACCTGCCTGGCAAAGGGTAGGATCATTTCTGTTAAGTGACTACCTTTGGTTGTATTGGTTTTTACCATGCAGCATTACAAAAATACACATATGTCTAAACAGGCTTGCAAAAACTGGCACCTTGGGTGAGTAATGATCTCTACTAGACGGAATAAGTCACTGAACACATTTCTAAAGCTGCTTATCTATGTCCTAGGAGATTCTTATGTTTTAGATGATGGGCCCAACTTTTGTATTTTTAAAATATATATTTTATTTATTTTTTTACAGAGAGGAAGAGAGAGGGAAAGGGAGTTAGAAACATCAACGAGAGAGAAACATCGATCAGCTGCCTCTTGCACACCCCCTACTGGGAATGTGCCTGCAACCAAGGTACATGCCCTTGACTGGAATCAAACCTGGGACCCTTCAGTCCCCAGGCTGACGCTCTATCCACTGAGCCAAACCGGCTAGGGCTAACTTTTGTATTTTTAAAAATGAATCTGGTTGCATCCTTATCATTATGTGTTAATTTTTTATAGAACCATTTAAAATATGTGTTTTTTTGTTAGCGAAAACATTTTCCTACAGCTCTGGGATACAGGATATAAAAGCATATAAAAATCAGTAACAAATAACAGACTATGAAAAAGGAGCACCTGACAATTAAAAGTGGTCTGAACGATCACTATAAGCCTTCTCTGTAATTTATAAAGCCTTTGTAGATATACTAAATCATTAATAAAGCAGAAACGGAACAGTTCTGACATGTTTAATCTCCCATTATTCAAATGGATGGAATTTTCCCCCTGAAAGGCTGAAGAGGCAAATAGCTAATTTTTGTTTTTTTTCTGGAAATTCCATTTTAGCACAACCCTGGGCTCATTCTGGAGTAAAAAATAAAAATCCACCCAGTCCAAGGACCTAAGTAACCTTCTGTGAAGATCTACTGGTTCCAATTTGGGTACTGTCTGAATCGGGGGAGAGGAGGGAGACGCGGGAGGAGCCACTTCTATCAATTTTTGATAAATGTATCTAATGATGACACTTTTGGGTGCTAAAATATTCGTATCTAAGAATATTTTGACTTTCCAAGACCAAGAGTCAGTAATAAAGTCTATAGATTATGGACAGGGATGAAGAATGCTAATTCCAGCTGACAACTCTCTCCTTTCTATAGGCATATGGCTTAAAAAAAAAAAAAAAAGCTTCAACGGCAATAGATCAAGTTTGTTTTTCCCCCACCATTTTCTTTATATTTTCTTGGATATATGACCTTGAGTGCAAAAGTCAGGTACGCTGATAGTTGTACTCTTCAAGTAGTCTAATGCAGAAATTCAATTTTATGTTATTTGCGTTTAATTAAGATGAGCAGAGGCCCAGCCAGAGTGGCTCAGTGGTTGCGTGTTGACCTAGGAACAAAAAGGTCACGGTTTAATTCCAGGTGAGGGCACATGCCTGGTTTGTGGGCTCGATCCCCAGTGAGGGAGGCAGCCGATCGATGATTCCCCCTCATCATCATTGATGTTTCGATCTCTCTCCCTCTCCCTTCCTCTCTCTGAAATCAATAAAAATATATATTTTTTAAAAAGAGGAGCAGAGGATGGTACTTTCTGAAAAGTTTGGTGTTTTTCTTTCTTTTAGGAGCATTTCAAATTATTTCCACTTATCCTATAACAAATGAAAGCCTGCTCTTTAAATTGTATGAGAGTTAACCTTAAATTTTTGCTACCTTAAGCCTTCAAAATGATTAAAGATGTCAATACTCTCTAACTTATTTTTTTCATCTTAGGCTTTCTACATATTTACAATCTAATCATTTGGGGAAAATCCTATCATAATATAGTACATATTGATAAGGAATACACAGGTTGTTCCAAAAACGTGCATACACACTTTAACAGCTGATGGCTCCTTTGTTTCGTTAAAGCCAGACTAAGCTTTGAACAAAGGAAATTCATCCTAAAATGCTACTAGAAGTTTGAAAATGCAGTTAAAGTACAAACACTGCCTTTATAATTATTCAAAGTGTGGATACAAGGGTATGCCCCGCCCCCAAAATGTATACACATTTTAATAGCAGGTAACTCATTAAATTTTCACATTTAACTGATCTGAAATAATGGGTGAAGCCAGACTAAGCTTTGAACAAAGAAAATTTATCTACTAGATTTTTTCAATGGGGATACATAAAAGATAAAGTTTATGGGACAAAACCGGCAACAGTTGACGAACTGAGGGTGCACAAATACTGAACAAAATGATTCTTGATGCTTGCGATTCCACTGCTCCATGTTATCAGCAGTGCCAGGACCAGAACAGGCATCAGTTTGAAAACAGGTGCTGACAAAAAATTATTCATTTCTGTAGATTCTTTTCAATTTTGAAAACATACTGACTTTATAATCATTCAAAATCTGTATACATTTCTGGGGACACCCTGTACTATAACACAGGCATTACCTGCTTTTTCTAAAGTTCATGTTATGACACTACACTTTTACAAAAGGCCTACAGCAGACCTGTTTGCACTCACTGAAAGAAATCCAAAGAGAATTTTTGCTTTTATGAAAAAGAGCAAAAAGTGAAAATAGCATCTAGTGCTTGTTTTCCAGGGGCGGTTACAGAGGCAGTGTCACCCTCAGCAGCGAGAACGGCACTGATTTTACTATGTTAATGCTATTTTAGATTTTGTGTGTTATTTGTATGATTTGGTAGGTTATTTTGGGGGCCAGGAAATGAAAAAAAAATGTTTCCATATCAATTAATAGGAATTGCTACTTTGCTTTAGGCCATTTCGGCTTATAAAAGGTTTATAGGAATACTAGCGGTCCGGTGCATGAAATTCATGCACAGGTAGGGTCCCTAGGCCTGGCCAGCGATCAGGGCTGATAGGGGCCTTTTGGCTGTCAGCTGGGACCTTCCTTCCCCGGCTCCTGGCCAGAGCCTTCCTTCATTCCATGCCACCCCCTGGTGATCAGTGCATGTCATAGTGAGCGATCAAACTCCTGGTCTCCCAGTCGAACTCCCGAGGGGACACTTTGCATATTAACCTTTTATATATATAGATTCTACTTTTGGATGGGGGAGGGACTGTATGTTTATTGACCTTAATTTTGGGGGAGGGGATTATAATATTTTCTTTGCCCTTCATCCTTTTTTGGGAGAGCATAACTTGGTAGAAAAGTCATTGATAGAAACATTGATTTTTCTTCTAATCTGTTTACACATTCCATCCACAAAGATGCCTCCCTCTGTGCAAGGCTTTAAGACAATCACCCGGCTCCTCAAATGAAGGAATGTGGTCCATTAAGAGAGGGTTATTTTGATTATTCTCAACCCATTATACAGATTGGCTAGAATTGCAGAAATAGACATAAAACAGCCTTTAAATTACATTCATTCATAGGGTTCCACATCCCAACAAAGCTGAACTGGATACTTCCCTCTGGGCTCATTTTCCACCTTTCCAACTCTTTCTCCCATCTCTAGGGTGCCTCTTGAGTCAGAGAAGACACCAATGAGGAACCGCTTAGGATCTTATAGCTTCATTAAGAATCCACAGGAGACCTATCCAGTTTGGCTCAATGGAAGAGCATTGGTCTGCGGACTTAAGGGTCCCGGGTTCGATTCCGGTCGGGGGCATGTGCCCAGGTTTCGGGCTCAATCCCCAGTAGAGGGTGTGCAGAAGGCAGCTGATCAATGATTCTCTCTCATCATTGATGTTTCTATCTCTCTCTCCCTCTCCCTTCCTCTCTCTGAAATCAATACACATATATTAAAAAAAAAAAGAATCCACAGGAGCCCTAGCTGGTGTGGCTCAGTGGGCAGAGTGTTGACCTTCGAGTGAAGGGTCCCGGGTTTGATTCCAGTCAAGGGCACATGCCCAGGTTGTGGGCTCAATCACCAGAAGGGGGCGTACAGGAGGCAGCCAATCAATGATTCTCTATCATCACTGATGTTTCTATCTTTCTCTCCCTCTCCCTTCTTCTCTCTGAAATCAATACACATATATTAAAAAAAAAAAGAATCCACAGGAGCCCTAGCTGGTTTGGCTCAGTGGACAGAGTGTTGACCTTGGAGTGAAGGGTCCCGGGTTTGATTCCAGTCAAGGGCACATGCCCAGGTTGTGGGCTCAATCACCAGAAGGGGGCGTACAGGAGGCAGCCAATCAATGATTCTCTATCATCACTGATGGTTCTATCTTTCTCTCCCTCTCCCTTCTTCTCTCTGAAATCAATACACATATATTAAAAAAAAAAAGACTCCACAGGAGTATCTGCCAAGAGGATTCTTGGAAAGAGCATGCTTAGCCTACAGAAATGTAACTTAACGAGAGAGAGCTGGATACAACAGGGGAGACCATTTGAGGCTAGAAACAGGCCCTTCAGAATATACCACATCTGCTTTGCCTTTACGTAGTAAGACCAGCCCTGACCATCACAGCTGGATATCATAGTATCAGAGATGTGTGTGAAGTTCCTAAACTTCGCTGGAATTCGGCAGTGTAATAACACAATCCCATGAAAACGTCACTGGTTTTGAAGTGTTAAAAATAAAAGCAGATGCTTCCCTGCGTGCTGGACATCCTTCCTGTGTAATACCGAGGCTTGGATATTTATGCTATCAACTGCCACCAGGAATTCTTGGCCTCGCAGTGGCAATTCTCCTGGTGACAGCAGTGATAAATAATGATGCAGTTCAAGTACTTCATCTGGGCCTCATATGACTCAAATTATTCCACAGAAGGCTTGCATTTTCCACTTAGGATCACTCAACTTGCTCTCTATTTAAGTGGGATGAAATGACTTGGACTTTTGGTTGTTATTGCTATGTCCGCTGATCATTTATCTTAATAAATGTGTTGGCTTCTACATGCAAGTTCACCTTAGACATATTTCCTAAGCTTTAAAAAAGCAACTTCTAAAAAACATTACTTTTACAATTCAGGTTCTGCAATCAAACCAAACCTTACCTTCGCCAGGCAGTCGCTTGATTGGAAGTCCGTTTTCCCTGATTTTGAGAAGTGGCATTTATCATTGCTTGTGGGCAGAGGAGTGTCTGTCTTTGGAACTCTAGGCTCTGTCCCTCTGTCCACTTCAGACCCGTCTAGATGGGATGCAGCCACTTCCTTGAGAGAGTCTGGGCCATTTTCTAGCTGAAAGGCATGGCCATTTCCAAGTTCTGGGTCTGGACCATTGTCCAGCTCAGAGATGGGGCCATTGTCCAGCTCACAGCCAGTGTGGCTCTTGGATTCTTCAGTGGCCTTGTGGATAGAAGGCCTGGAAATGACTCCAAACTTTCTTGTTCTTTTCCCCTTTTTCACGGTCCGGTCACCCAGCTCCAAGGTCGGTGTCTGTCCTGGCTCTGAGCTGTTGCCACTGTTGCTGCTGTAAGGAGAATGGACCTTGTGCTTGAAGCGGCGCAGCATGATCAGGTAGAGAAAGCCGCCATTCCAGCACTGCTCAGCCAGGTAACTGCCGCAAACACAAACAAAGGAGCGGTTAGGATCCTCCAAGCGGCCCTCTCCACAGTGCAGTGGTGGGCACACTCAGTGCCCCACACAGGACCCATGCGATTACGCAGATGGAGACTTAGCACTCGTTTCATTCTTTTAATCTGTATAATTGTGGATGCTAAAAAGGACTCCAAAACAAAGCAGAAAAACCAAGTGAACTAGAACTTACTAATGAAAGGACCCTAGGATAGGTAATCAGAGAAGGAAGTTCCTATTAACAGAGCCAATCCTAACACACCATTAAATTAAAAAGGAATCCTCCACTCAGCAATTTCTTGCATCAGAATTATCCCAGCCGCCCATTCATACGGTTCTGATGTAGAAACACTGCAAGCTCCCAGGGTAAAATAGATTGGGGGAAATGCAAAGCTCTGCTCTTACGATCAAAAAATCAACAGCACAACAACAGGAACCTCTGCCTCACAGCAGTTAAAGGAAAAAGAAGGCGGGGGGTGGAGTGGTGTTGGCTGGTATCGAGATGCAACTGGCAATAAGCACTGGCATGTGTGTCCCACATTAAAGGGGTGTCAGCTCGTTTCTTGGTAACGTTCTAGTCTGGATTGTCCACAGCACATGTGGGCCATCGCTCCCAGTCCGGGCATCACATGAAAAGGAACACTGATAAAGTGGACAGCACAGACCCAGGGACCAGGACAGAAAGGCTGTACCAACTGTGTGAACCAGAAATAGTGGGAGGAAAGAGGGATCCTTAGCTTGAAGCAAAGAAGGGCCAGCTCAGTTGCTTTTTCATGTATTTCAGGGCTGCCAAACACAGAGAAGCAGGAAATAATATAAACGAGATGAAGCACATGAAGCCCGACACACAATACTACTCCAGATCTTAAAGGATAACAAGAAAACAGAACATCAGTGAGATGAGTAATTAGCGGTGATCACACCAAGTCATTGAAGCTTCAGCAAAGAAAATACTTGCTCAAAGTCAGGAAACCAGGCTGGGCTGGACCCTCCACCCGTGCCATCCAAGATAAGGAAGCATGAACCCCAGATGAACCCAGGGACATGCCTTCGCCACTGGAACCTTGCCACATTCTACACATCACCGGTTCCCAAGCAAACAATGTCAACAGCCAACTCCTTAACGAGTCAGACCTGCTGCTGGTCTTCATGCACCCACCAAGGAAAGGCCTTCATCTTCAATCAGTGAAAAACAGAACTTTCCCAAGTATACCAACCCAGCTACACTCCTTCTAGGCCTGAAGTCAGCCCTGCGAGCTGGGGCAGTTAGTGCATGGGGAGGGGGCCAGGTGGTAAGGAAAGATGACCAGCTGTGTTTAAAATGGCCGGAGGCATATATTCCCCATACCTAATGCAATGACAGTGACTACCTAACTGAAGAAGAGAATAATTCTGAATTTGCCATGGAGTAAAATAAACAAAACAGACGGGCCTTTAAACATCAACCAAAGCTAATAGAAACTCTTTGATCCTAGGCTATAAACCATGGCAATGAACTTACACATAAAACCCAGGTAGATAAAAGATATCATACAAGACTCAGACTGTTCTGTGACATACAGTGGGAGGAAGAGGTATAAAGACCAGTCTACTGGAGTTTAGTGATGAAAATGAAACCTGATTTTCAGCATAAATTTTCTACAGTGTTTAGATTTTATTCCTTGCATTGTCGTGGTCTCTTTTCTCACATTAGAAAAAATTCTTGTAAAGGTATAAAATCCTAACAGCAGTTGGCCAGGTTGTAAGGGTTTGTTTGAGCAAACCACTACTATGAATACAATGCATATACTGTACTCAGATGTTATGGAAAAACAGATGTTATGCAGTAGTAAAAACAGGACCAGGTTGAGAATTAGATGCCCAAAGTCCTGCCTTTGGCCCAACCATGTAAAACAATGGTAATTTCCCCAAATTTTTATCAACTGATGAATATATACACAAAATGTGGTACATCATATAATGGAATATTACTTGGCGATAAAAAGTAAGAAGTATATGCTACCACTTAGGTGAAGCTTGGAAACATGCTGAGTGAAAGATGCCAGACCATCTATATGATTCCACTAATTGCCCATGTCCAGAATAGGCAAACCCATTAAGATGGAAAGTAGATTAGTGGTTGCCAGGAACTAGGGGGAGGGGAAAATTGGGACTGACTGCCATAGGCCCAGGGTTTTTTTGGTGGGGGGAGGGGATAGTGGGAATGTTCTGGAATTAGGTAGTGGTGAATTAGATATATCCACTTTAAAATGGCGAATTTTGTATTATTTAAATTATATTTCAATTAAGAAAACAATAGCAAATAAAATAATATTGGCCAAGTTTTGAGTTCACTTTTGAGTAGGTAAGCCCTAAGAACTGTTTACAGAAGAGCCTGAGGCTCAGAAATATTGATTCACTTGCCCAGGTTCCCATGACAGCTAAGTGGGAGACCCAGGCCTGTCTGATTCCCAAGCCTGTGTTATGTTTGCTGTGCAATTCTGCTTCTTCCATTGTTACCTTCCCAGGCGCTGCAGTCGCCTCATCTGTAAAATGAGGCACTACAATGGGTCATCTAAGTTACTTTCACGTTCTAACAATTGTGGACGCTACTGTCCCAGGAAGAGTTCTGGGGGTTAAAGGAACAAGCCTCCCAATAATCCCGTACATGCCAAGGACAAAACACCACCCTGGAAAAACTGAAATGTTCTTCTTACATCCAAGTTGTCTAGGCCTCTTGGACATTTCCCAACAAACTGAGAGAGATTTCACCTGAGGCGGGGGTGGGGGGAGGAAGCAGAGGGGTGGGCAATTCCTTTAAAATCGTTTCTGGGACTCCACCTTTTATACCGAAACTCTGAACAACTTGGTGGGCTGTACATAGGGACCTTCTTTTCAGCATCCAAAAGTCTGGCCCATTGACTCAGAGTATCTTTCCCATCTCTACTCTGCGGGAGCTCTACGAACCTTGGACGGTTCCATGACAGAGAGTATTTTATTCCTTCTGCAGACTCCACACTCAGGAGCATTACAAAGCAAGAGGAGTTTATCTGTAGTTCAGCACCATCTCCCTGTCCTCTCCTGGCTTCCTAGCAATAAATAAGACCCTGACACCTTCAGGGAACTGTATGACAGGTTGTTTTATTTCTTCCTGGACACAGAATTTTCTAAGGTCACCCCAAAGACAAAGTGTAGTGAATGAATTATGGGCACTCTAGCAAGTTGGTCAGAAAGAGACTTTTAGGCAGAGGGTCATTTTCTTACAATTGTTTGAGAATCACCTTAAATACGATGCCCCCACATTCCCTATTTCCTAACAATTCCAGCACCTTCCTGGCTAATTCATACTTCCACATCCCCTTTTCTGTTCAGGAGGATTCTTAGCCACTAGTAGAATCTGTAAACTTCCAAGTCAACCTTTGAGAAAGAAGAAATGGAATACAATCACATGACTTAGAAAAAGTCTTGCCCAGGCCAGTATGGATCAGTGGTAGAAACGTATCCAGAAATGAGATTCCGAATTCTAGCTTAGAACCTTGTCCCTGGAATGTGTGTGGTTCTTCATTTCACTCTACCTTTGCAGGTGTCTTTTCGGAACAGATCCCTTCCTTCTCCCTTCCACTAAAAAAGTTCTTTATACAAAGAAAGTTTTGAGTACCTCCTCTGTTTCTTGAAGCTCTGTCATAATTCCAGAGTCTGGGCTCTCCAGGGATTGGCAGGTGAGATTGGTGCTTGGAAAAGCTGAAGTCTGGAGTTTGAAGAACATGAAAATAGGGAGGTAGGAGGCAAGAGAGGGAGGTATTGGAAGGCCAAAGACACGCATTATTTATCCATGCCCTGATTCCATCAAAAGAGGGTTTGAGGGAGCTATAAACGTTTGATATCCTGGACTGTTTGGCCAAAGCCCTTGGAAGGAGCAATCTCCAGGTGTCTTTGAAAACCATTTTGGGCATTCAGCCCTCGATTCCTGATGCCTGGCACACAGTGTGAACCCACAAAGGGGTGCTGCCAAGCTGAACCACGAGTGTCTATCTGTGTGTAATTGAGAGTAACCTGGCACCACCACCGGGCACTGGCCTGTACCAAAATGCCATGAAAACATGGTATAACTCAGAGAACACATAAAAGAATCCTGAACTCGGACTTTTCACCAAAGCAGACATTCATCTGACTATGCCAGGTTCCCAGGGGACAGCAGGAGAATGAACACTGACTACAAGAAGATGTTTATAGACAACAATTATGACAGAGCCTGGGTTTTATGGAATGGAACCAGCTGCTCACAGCACCTGGTCTAACACACAGGACAAATGGAGATCAATTTTTCTTGCCTAAGAAGTAATGGGAGGCTGAAAAGCTGTTTGTGGTCCTCTGAAAACCTGCTAAACCTAATTAATCCAGAGGGCTGTCTGAGGTGGTGTGTGAATCTGTTGGTTCCCAGAGAACAATGGTTTGAGAGGAAGTGTTAAATACATAGAGATTACTTTCCCAGTGAAGTCTTGGCTGGGAAACAGAGGAAGGCAAGTATGGACAGCTCTGTAAGAGAGGATGGGACAATGATGATCATTATTTCCCGGAGTCATTAGTAACCGTGTTCCCCCAGGGCAGTCTCTCTCAGGTGTTGCCTCCTAGCTATGTTGAATCTGGGGCATACTTCTCCCAGATTCCACAACCCTCCTTAGTAAGAGCCAAACTATCTTTGGAAGACTCTGAAAGTGGTGCTGATAAGAGTGAACGATATCCTGGGTGCTCATAAGGCCTTTTCTGAAAACCCGTCAATGTACTCCTTTCCTAGAGCAGTGAGGGAGAAAGTCAGCCCTCATCAGATGGGGAAAGATGGGCTCAGGAACCAGTGAGGCTTTGAAACTGGATCAGTCAAGGCTTAGAGTAGAAATAAACTGGAACACTGTTCCAACTGCTGCTTGTGGGAGGGTTACCGATGAAGCCAATTTTTACCACTTCTCACCTCCTCTATTTAGCATGAATGGTTGGGGTTCAGCAACT